GAGTTGCCCCCCCCCCTCGACCATTGGGAAGGGCGAGCCGCGGCTTGCCTGACTTGCGTTACTGCCGAGGCCGTTATTGCGCTGGTATCGCGGCCGCCATCACTGCAATCACTGCTAAGACCGGGCCGGGAACCATCGGAAGGCCTGGTCACAGCCTAACCAGCGGCGGCTGCTGAGCAGGGTGCGCCCCTGTTCCTGCCCTCTGTTCCGGTAGTCGCAGTCTTCCCGTGCCTATCGGGAGGCTGTCCCCACACCTCGGCGTCCCGCTTTTGGCGGGGGCTTGGGGGGGGCTTGGCCGGATTCCCTTGTCTGCGGCGCTGGGACTCCTCCTCGTCTCTGGGTGGCGCTGTCTCTGTGCTCCATCTTGGTTGGACACCTCGGCGCGTCCTGGATCACGACATCTCCGCGCCATTAAGGGACACCACCGTACTCCATCTCGCGGAAACTCCAGGAGCGGCCTGGCTGGGCTCCCCCTATCGAAGTCAGAGTGAACCTAACCAATAGAGCAGACCATCTGGAGCGCAGCAGTTCCCCTGTGACCTCCGCTCCGGTCATTACTAAAGGATACCACCACCTTGAGGCTGGAAGTTCATCGCTTGGTTGGCTGGAGTCATAGCTGCTGTTACAGAGTTACCATCAGCCGCCTTCTTTGAGATACCATCTTTTATTGTCATCCTCATCTATTGCCTCCTATCCGGAAGAAACGTTACCAATTCAACATCATATTATCAACTAGCATCAGATTCTAGTAGCCATTGGAGCCCTTATCCACCATTCCTTGTAAAGTTCTATCGTCTTATGGATTCTCATAAGATCTCTACCCTTGACTCTGCCCTATGTTGATGCATTGGGGGGAGGGGGGTTAAATGGGAATTCAGTTTTTAACTATAATCGAGGATTGACTATACAAATACATCGTGTTGTACTGTTGCCACATTATTATTATTACGACCATCTTGGCCAACGCTGCTAATTCTCCGTCTGCCAGCACTTTAAGCTACTAGGTATAATCTGCACTTTAGACCTTGATACCTCAATGCTAGGTGCACTTTAACCCTTGCACTTTAATGCCATTAAGCCTCCATTACAGCACTTTAACTGTTACCAACGGGTTAGATTAAAGCACTTTATTGCATCTTGCACTTTAACACCTGCTAATACTTGAAGCTAGTGTCTTGTACCAACGCTGCCCCAGCGCTGTTCATCCATGTCGGCTCTCATCCTTTGGTATTTGTTAACAGCATTGTTGATAAACTGGGAAGGGAATAGAGGGTGGAGTGGGGGGCTAGATCCTAGAAATAGCATTGCAAGGTTAGGAAAGGGCTGGAAGGAGGTTGTATGGCACAAAGAGAAGTCATTAAAACAAATAATTTGGAAAGAACTATGGGATGAAGCCACAAAATTGAAGTGCAATATGGGCGAAGAGAGGTATTCCATTGGCCGAGGGGTCCCCATAGAAACCATAACGGGGAGGCGGAGATGCGGGAAAGGGAGACCGCCAATTCGGCCTAGAGATAACGGAAAATTTAAAATAACTCAAATTCGGCCTAGGGATAGAAAAAGAAATTTAAGAACTTGTAATCGGTCTCCTGACATGGTAAGTGGGTGTACCAAGGATGGCGGTCCCTCTGGGTTGAAGGTGGTGCTGCTGAACGCCAGATCTGTCAACGGAAAAACATCTTTCATCCAAGATATAATTCTGGAGGAGCGGGCAGATCTGGCGTGCATTACGGAGACCTGGTTGGACGAAGCTGGAGGAGTAAATTTGACCCAGCTTTGTCCACCAGGCTTCTCCGTACAGTACCAATCGAGACCTGGAGGGCGGGGAGGCGGAGTTGCGGTTGTCTATAAGAATTCTATTCCCCTGACCAGAGGCCCCATCCCGCAGTCAACTAATTTTGAATGTGTCTACCTGAAGGTGGGTGACCGGGACAGAATAGGGATTCTGTTAGTGTACCGCCCACCTCGCTGCACTACGGTCTCCCTACCTGAGCTAGCAGGGGTGGTCTCGAGCCTGGCATTGGAGTCCCAACGGCTTCTTGTGCTGGGGGACTTCAATGGTCGGGCATCTGGACAACGTGGCCAATCCAGCGGAGTTGATGGCAGAGGAACATTGCTTTGATGCTGGTGGTCTTTGCTTCTTTCAGCACACTGACGTTTGTCCGCTTGTCTTCCCAAGAGATTTGCAGGATTTTCCGAATTGCATGGAGTGCCATTGCCTTCCCATCGGAGCGGTACCTATTGATCTACTCATATTTGCATGTTTTCAAACTGCTAGGTTGGCAGAAGCTGGGGCTAACAGCAGGAGCTCATGCCACTCTCCGGATTCGAATCTGTGACCTTTTGATTAGCAGCTCAGTGGGTTAACCCATTGTACTACTGTGGGCTCCAAGGAGAATATAATCCTACAAAAAGATTTGGTCCCTACCACTATATTATGCGTCAGAAACTGAGGATGGAGACTTGTACAAGCTGATTTCCTTGGTACATAGTTGTTTGTTCAGGCCCAGACTTTTGCTGGAACAAAGTCTTAAGTGCCCATTCAGCTAATGTAGAGAGCCAGGACAAGATATAGGGATCTAAATCTGTGCTAATTGTTGGGGTATTGATGGGACTGGATCCAGTCTGAGGACTAAGCACTAGAATTCCTTGTCAAAATTGCAAAGGCCTATTGGTTACTCTCCCATGTGCTTCAGCTTTTTGAGACACAAAAACCCTGGATTGTTCTGTTCACCTCTAAAGAGAACCGGAATCGAAACTGCGCTTCTCTTTAACTGTAATGTCACTTGCTGAGCTCTTGTTTGTGGCACAGAGAAAAGAAGAATGGTGCATTGTGAACCACACTGTTGAGGTTTTAGGGGTGTTCAGTGGCGTGTGCATGCATTGCTTTGTTTCCTAAGCCCAGCGGTTTTAGCGGTTATTTTTCACCTGCTTCAGTGACATGTTTCTGAAAATATTGGCAGGGCTCTGTCAGTGTGCGCAGGTATAATTGAAACTTGTTTTCTCCAAGGAATCACTTGGCTGTGTGGTTTATTTGTTTACTGACATTGACAGAGATCTTAATGGCTTTTTAAACCCAATTTGTGCATCGCTGAATATCCTCCGAAGAGGAAGATCTGATTAAATTTATCAGGGGAACGAAGCCTCCTCTCTGCAGGAACTTTGGCGTCGACAAGGAAGCCTGCACCTGAGTAAAGCTTGTTGGGTTCAATGCTTCATGCAGCGACTGCGTATTGATGGTTGCTTGTTTACTAATCTCTGTTATATTGGAAGGTGCAAAGTTTGTGGATAATTGTCTTCTCTTACCATGGGCTTATTTCTTATTTTTTAAAACGAGAATTTCACACCTGAACCCAATTTAATCACTCTATCCTTTTGTGTTTGGAAAGCTCTCATTGCTTTCTGATTTGTGAACACTTTAATGAACAGGTGGTAATCCTGCAGTATAAGTGAGTGTTCCCTCACTTATCGCGGGTGTTACGTTCCAGGATCAGCCATGATAAGTGAAAATCTGTGAAGTAGGGATGCTCTATGTGTGTGTGTGTGTGTGTGTGTGTGTATGTATGTATGTATATGTGTGTATGCATGCATACGATGCATGTGCAGAACAAGTACCGCAAAAACCCATGAAAAAGTGAGTTCGCAAAAAGCAAACCGCAAAATAGCAAGAGAACACTGTATTGATTCCAGTTCAGCCCTATTGCTCCCCCATCTATCTTCTTTTGCTGAAAAAAAATGCTTTTTGGCTGGTAAACTTATAAAAATAGCATTTTGGTACTGTATTGAGGTGTCCCAAACACCCAAATGGTCACATCCCCTGAATAGCAAAAGAGATGTCAGGTCAAAATGGTGGCTAAGGTGGGTTCCTATGCCTACTCCAGAATTCTGGGGCCAAACATTTGAGAGCATGGCCCATCAAGATGTGACACTTTCCCGTTTCCTGGTTTAAACAGAGAGGTTTTGGAAATGGTTGATTTTAAACCTTGCCTTTCAGTTGATCTTTGTGTGATAGGAACCCACAAGAGTAACTGCTTTGGGAGATGGTGGTCGGGCATTTGGACAACCTGGCCGGACCATTGGATTTGATGGCGGAGGACCATCGCTTCAATGCTGGTGGTCGTTGCTTCTTCCAGCACGCTGACATTTGTCTGCCTGTCTTCCCAAGAGATTTGTAGGATTTTTCGGAGGCAGCACTGATGGAATCGTTCCAGGAGTTGCATGTGACATCTGTAGACAGTCTGTGTTTCGCAGGCATATAGCAGGGTTGGGAGGACAATAGCTTTATAAACAAACACTTTGGTATCCCTACTGATGTCCCAGTCCTCAAACACTCTCTGCTTCATCCGGAAAAATTCTGTACTTGCAGAACTGAGGCGGTGTTGTATTTCAGTATTAATGCTGACTTTTGTGGAGAGGTGGCTGCCAAGGTAGCAGAAACGGTCAACATTTTCTAGTGTTCCACCATGAAGCTGTATTTCTGGCATTGGAAGGGGGTTATCTAGTCCATAGCCCTTGCCAAAGTACTTCAGAGAAATGGTCATCCAATCACTGTTTAAAGACCTGCAGTGGTGGAGAGTCCACAACTCTTTGCTGCCCACTTTCAGTGCCAAACCACAAACAGTTTTTGTTTGGTAGAAACAAAACTCCATCATAATGATGAGGAGTGTACACAAGGTTCTGCTGTAATATTGATTAGATTTCTCCTTCTTGCTTTGCAGTGCCCACAACAAGAGTCCTTGCGACTGGTGGGGCATCAGACAATGAAGCAATCTTACAAGTAAGTGTAACTTACTGCATTTGGGATCATGGTGTTTTTGGGGGTCTAAGAATATGCGATTCTCCCAAGGTCATTTAGTAGGTTTCCATGGCAAATGGAGGAAATCAAATCCTAGTCTCTAGAATGATAGCCCAGCACTCAAACCATTATGTAATGCTTGCTCTCCTTCATACACAAACAGTTTATAGAAATCTATCCATTGTTATGCAAATGTGGTGCTCCCACCCAAAAAGCATGCTTTTTGCACTAAACTCCCTACTTATGTTTCTGTGCAAAATAATTTCCCAAAATAGGATGTCTGAGTATGATGTAAGATATCTGAACATGAAGAGAAAAGTGAGGAAAGTTTTTGACTGAGCAAAAACTTATTTTCCTGAGCAAGTTTCTTGACTGCTAGGAATGCTTTTTCATCCAGAATATAAATAACACAGAATATTCTTTCCATTTGCAACCCAGGCACATTAGTAGCTGCTTTTCCAAGCCTGGCTGCCAGTGTAAGGCCTTCTCTTGTGGCACCCATTTGTCTGTATAGCTTGCTAATGGAAACAGAACTGCCTACTCCCCCTGTTTCCCACAGTCTGGTTGTAACAGATGCTTTTTATGCTTCTCAGGTCTTGTCTGATGTATTCAATGCTCCTGTTTACACAATTGACACTGCTAATTCAGCCTGTTTAGGATCTGCTTACAGAGCAATCCATGGTAAGAGCCCTTTAAGCCACATGAACACATGCAGCAGCAGAAAGAAAAAAAAGCACTTGTGGTAGGGTTGAAAATTAGCTGCTTTCCATCCTTGTCACAAGTCTATGGCTTCCATTTGTGCTCTTTATCCCCTCCCCATGGCACTTTTTAAAAATCTGGCCATCTAAATAGCTGCAAAAGAACAGTCTTGCTGGGTTGGATTTCAGAGTCCACCTTATTTAGCCTCTTCTTTCCCACAGCTGTTCCTGGAAAGCCCACAAGGCAGTAGCTTGTCCCTGATGCTCATTCCTTAGCAGCTGACTAGTAATTGATGATGATGTTGTGTGCCTTCAAGTCTTTTCAGACTTATGGCAACCCCAAGGCAAGCCTATGACAGGTTTTCTTGGCAGAGGGGAATGAGCCTTTACCTTTCTCTGAAGCTGAAACTGCTACTTGCCCAAGTGAATTTCCATGGTTGAATGTTCTAGCCATCCATTCCATCTGTTTCAAAGACATGTGTTGCTTTAAATTCTCTATCACTTTAAATTGTTTGGATTAGTTTTATTTTGTACACTGCCTTGAGATCCCATGATGAAGAATGGGCTATAATAGAAATATTTTCATATCTGTGGATTCTGTATCTATAGGTTCAAATCAACCATCCATAGCTTGAAAATATCCTTAACCTTTAATAAAATTCCCAAACCATAGTGCCATGGGATTTTGCCATTTTATATAAAGGGAATTGAACGTCCTCAGATAATGGTTTCCATTGCAGAATGAAGCACGGATGGGTGGATGGGTGGATGGATGGATGGGTGGGTGGATGGGTGGGTGGGTGGATGGGTGGGTGGGTGGGTGGGTGGGTGGATGGGTGGGTGGGTGGGTGGGTGGATGGGTGGATGGGTGGGTGGGTGGGTGGGTGGATGGGTGGGTGGGTGGATGGGTGGGTGGGTGGGTGGATTGATTGATGAGTAGATTTGTTGTTTATTCATTCAGTCGCTTCCAACTCTTCGTGACCTCATGGACCAGCCCAAGTGAGTTTCCATGACTGAATTTGCTTTTAAATCCCAGTCTCTATAGCAGTGGTTCTCAACCTGGGGTCCCCAGATGTTTTTGACCTACAATTCCCAGAAATCCCAGCCAGTTTAGCAGCTGTTAGGATTTCTGGGAGTTGAAGGCCAAAAACATCTGGGGACCCTAGGTTGAGAACCACTGCTCTGTAGTGATAAAGAATTCTCAAACCACTGCCTCATGTTGGCAGAAGAAAATAGCACCCTGCCTCCAAAACTGGACACTCCCTCTAGCCACAATGGTTAATCTATAGATCGTTTCTTCACAAACCCTCTTTTTATATGATTTTTCTCAATTTTCCTCCCTTAACTCTGAGCAAGATAGTACACACACACACACACACCCCATATTATACCCCACCCTTCTCACCCCAAGGGGGACTCTGAGCAGCCTTACATAGAGTGCCATATAAAACAGACATACAATTAAAATAAACATTTACATTAAAACCATAGAATTAAAACATCTAAACATTAAGCCAATTACTAAAAACCACACAATCCAAGATTGTAGTCCAGAGTCATTCCAGTCATCATTGCACATATTCCATATCCATTTATTTCACTACATTATTGTCTGAAGGCTTGGTCCCACAGCCACATTTTTACTTTTTTTCTGAAGGTCTGGAAAGGCCAGTTTTTAAATAGCTTTACATTGTCATGTGGATGGAGTAGGGGTTGCCTCCACTGGAACCACCAAAGCCTGTGCAGAAAGCAGTTCATCCACATTTTGATCTTTCAATAATAATAATAATAATAATAATAATAATTATTATTATTATTATTTATTTGTACCCTGCCACCATCTCCCTGAAGGGACTCGGGGCGGCTAACTCAAGGTGCCATACATAAAATAGAATTACATATCAGCAAAACAATACATGATTTTTTTGAATACAAACAATGAGGATCAATCAATAAAGTTTAAAAAAATAAAATTCTAAAAAACAGTCATATCTGTGGGTCATTGGGTTTCTTCAAACACAAACTAAAAGTGCTGAATAAAAATGGCCGATGTCATCACATGACCATAGTACATTACTTCAGGTCAAAGGCCCATGCAAATAGCCATGTTTTTAGGCTCGAATAGAAGATTTGGAGATTTGGGGCTAATCTAATCTCTCTACGGAGGGCATTCCAAAGCCAGGGAGCCACCACTGAGAAGTCCCCCTCTCTCGTTCCCACCAACCGCAACTGTGACGGTGGTGGGACTAAGAGAAGGGCCTCCCCAGTAGATCTCAAGGCCCACACTGGTTCATAGAAGGAGATGACATCTCCAAGATAGGTTAGACCCGAAGTGTATAGGGCTTTGTAGTTAATAACCTGCACTTTAAATTGGGCCCGGAAACTTGTCAGGAGCCAGTGTGCAAAAGCCCCAACCTGCATGGCCACTGGATAAGGATTTGTGAAGTTACAGTCCAAAACATCTGAAGGTTGAAAAGTTAAGAACTGTTGGACTAAGTTATTTTGCTTTTTAAAAAAATTCAAAGGCAAGAGGTATTCTCCACTTCTCCTCCACAGCCTTTCCAGTACTTGATAGAAAATTACCCTCCTCCTCCTTCTCCTTCTCCACCTCCTCCTCCTCCTCCTCCAGTTATTTATTTCCCACATTGGGGACTTAAAGAAGCTTTTTGCATATACTTGTAGTTAAAATTCACTCCAGTGAAATATAATGAACAAACAAAGGCAACAAATTATTTAGCGTTGTGTCAACCGATGGAATTAAATTATATCTAACATGGTGAATCTTGTAGAATAGATAGTCAAAAATATTAGATGATTGTTTTTAATGAATGGGATGAAACTTTCTCTATTACCCCCAACATGCTCCAGTTTTTTCCCTTTGTCCTTGAACGTATTGCTTCTCCATATTTCCCCATCTCTTTCCTGCCTCATTGGCTTTCCTCAATGATTACTGATACTGTTGAACTTGCAACTCTGTGGCTAGCTTTGCCCTCCACGGGACAAATGGAATGACTGGCGTAAACTCGATCTTCGAGACCCTTCTTTGCCCAGGCCCAAGTGCATTGGAATGTACGATCTTTACCCGTTATCCTTCACTCTGAATGCTGACCTGACCAAGGAAGATCAATGCAATGTATTAATTTGCCAAGGAGTCCAGGCACATCCCTCATCTCGTTTCTGCTCATTGATCAGGGCTGTGATCCTCGTTGCAGGACTCGTTGCAGAGACAAGCGTGTCCTTGACGGATGTTGTGAAATCAGCACCCGGGCCCAAATTAGTTGCGACTCCCAAAGCTGGTGTGGCTCAGGTGAGGTGGCTTTTAATTGCTTTTACTACCTGGCTCTGTCTTTCATTTTCTTTTCTTTCCATTTTAAAGTGGAAGAAAGAAGGGACATGTTTCAAGAAGCTCAAAGTATGTTTTTGACTTAATGTCTTCTTAAAGGCCTTCAAGCATTAATTATTTGGCCCTTTCATCCAATAAAAGCCCTTTTTGAGTGTCTTGGAATGTCTCTCATTTCTTCCCAGGTTTCCATTGGATGCTCCCCAGTCTTTTTCATCTTTTAGTTTGAAAATATAATGGATGATAATTAATACAGATGAAGGAACAACTTTCATTTGGGGCAAATAATTCGTTTTAGAAATATTGCAAATCTGTCTTAGCCGACTATTTGTTTTCATGTCTTCATTCAAGGGGTGTTTGGGCCACACGTTGAATGTCTGTATTGAAATTGCTAGGATTTACTGGGAAAAGGGAATAACAAGTAAGCAAGTTTAAGTCAGTTGAGGGATACATTCTTTCCACATAAAACAGTGGTTCCCAACCTTTGGTCCATTTTTTTTGTCGTGTCAGGAGCATCCTATTGTGAGAGAACTGGCCGTCTGCAAGGACGTTGCCCAGGGGACGCCCGGATGATTTTGATGTTTTATCATCCTTGTGGGAGGCTTCTCTCATGTCCCCGCATGAGGAGCTGGAGCTGATAGAAGGAGCTCATCCGCCTCTCCCTGGATTCGAACCTGCAACCTGTCGGTCTTCAGTCCTGCTGGCACAGGGCTTTAACCCACTGCGCCACCGGGGACCTTTGGTCCATGAACTACCAGTGGTCTGCAAGAATGAAAATATGGTCCATGGCCTCAACATTGCTATAGTGTTGCCTCAAAATCACGTGGCAACAAGAGCAACTGGTCTCGCGAAACCCTCTTATAGTTCCAAGGCAATGGGGATGTTGGGAGGGGAGAGGCTGACTGCCCATGAAAGATCACTACTACAGTACCACATCAGCTCTAGATTATTAAGTATGGTTTTCTGTTGGTGAGCAGATGGCAACTACTGGATGGCATATGCTCTGTATCAGAAACTAGAGCTTACGTGGTTAATCCAAGCAATTTTCTGAATCAGCACCCCAAATAACCAAACCAAATCTAAAATTGACCAAAAACTGTTTTGTAACCTTTTTGTTACTAATGTTGGAGAGTGGTCCCTCCAATGTGATCGAAGAGGTTTTCTCACAAATCCCGCAACAAAAACCAGGGATGAGCTTGCAGCACTGCCAACAAACAAACAAACAAACAAACAAAAACAAAACCAGCAGACCTGATGGGATCCCTGCTGATATCTTTAAAGAGGGAGGACCTGAGTCGACACACCAACTCCACCAGCTCATTGAAAAAATATGGGTGACAGAAAATCCCAGCAGTTTTCAAGGATGCCACTATCATCACCCTCTTTAAAAAAAGAGAAAGAACAGACTGCGGAAACTATCGAGGTATCTCCCTTCTAACCTCTGCTGGGGAGGTGCTTGTTTATAAAGCTATTGTCCTCCCAACCCTGCTATACGCCTGCGAGATGTGGACAGTCTACAGATGTCACATGCAACTCCTGGAACATTTCCATCACCGCTGCCTCTGGAAAATCCTGCAAATCTCTTGGGAAGACAAGCGGACAAATGTCAGCATGCCAGTAGGCTGTTAGGAATTGTGGGAGTTGAAGTCCAAAATACCTGGAGGGCCCAAGTTTGCCCATGCCTGCCTTAGATCCCTCTGTTTTTTTTCCACCAGGAGGCAATAAGTTTATATTTAGACATGCTTTTGGCTATTAACTAGTTGGGTCTCATGCTGGGAGATTAAGGTAGAGTATAAATAAATAAACTGTCACAGAAGGGTATTTTAATGAGCCAAAGTATTGTGCTTCTATTCCCATATTTATATTTTCAATTATTTAAAACTTTTTAGAATTAGCGCTGTTTTTAAAAGGATAGTTTAATTCTTCTAAAATCTTTTGATGGTGATGATAATTATAATAATATTTAGATGTATTATGTTTGCACTGTCAGCTGCTTTATGTTCCATCTTGGGTGAAAGATAGGATATTCAATGAATTGGTCAATCAGTCAATGAAAAAATTTATGGCCTTTACTTTGCCATATACTTTCCAGTCTCCCAGTGCTCTGGTTAGGGCTTGCCTTATGAGCTATACAACTCAAACTCTCCAATTCCTATGTCTGTGCATTGTGAGGAGGAGTTGATAATGATGGGCAAGCTTTCAATCAGAAGTTTTTACCAGTTGCTGCTGTGATGAGCTTCTGAGGGATGCTGTGCTTTTCAGGTGCATAATTTAAGAAGCCCATTGTGTTCAGATAAAGTCTTGGAGCTTTATATGCTTTGCCGGTTTCCAGATGTGCACTTACCTGCCTTGATGCTGGGATGTCCAACTTAGTTTATTGCATTTGCAAATTAGAGACATATTGCCACTGGCAGTAGCTGTCTTAGGTGGGATTAGCTGAGATGTCAGGAGTTTAGAGATGCTTATTAAGCCCTTGGGGGCTATCCAACTCCTCCTGAGAATTTTAACATGTACTGTAGTGGCAGGCATTAGCAACGACAACAAAAATAATTACCACATGCAGATTTTGATGCACTGGCAAGGAGTTGAGTATGGAATTGGATAATGTTCACTATACTGTGCACTGGGCCAAATTCATTGGTTGGTCTTTCCAAAATGTTTCAGCCAAGCGCACTGTGGAGCCTCGCTGGTTCTTCTATAACAATGTTTCTCAACCTGGGGGTCGGGACCCCTGGGGGGGGGTGTCACAGGGGGGGTTTCAGAGGGGTCACCAAAGATCATCAGAAAACATATTCCTAATGGTCTGAGGAACCCTTTGGTAGAGAAAACTGAAGATATCTCTGCCTGTCCTTCTCTTCCTTTTTGGTGTTGGTGAATTCAAAAAGAGCCCCCCCCCCCAACCTCACTAGTGTTCAATGTTGAGATGTATGTAGTGTGCCAAGTTTGGTGCAGATCCATTGTGGGCTGGATTCAGAGTACTCTTTGATTGTAGGTGAACTATAAATCCCAGCAACTACAACTCCCAAATGTCAAGGTCTGTTTGTCTCAAACTCCACCAATGTTCACATTTGGGCATATTGCATATTCGTGCAAAATTTGGTCCAGATCTATCATTGTTTGAGTCCCCAGTGCTCTCTGGAGGTAGGTGAACTCCAAAACTCAAGGTCAATGCCCACCAAATCCTTCCAGTATTTTCTGTTGGACATGGGAGTTCTGTGTGCCAAAATTGAATCAATTCTATCGTTGATGGAGTTCAAAATGCTCTTTGATTGTAGGTTAACTATAAATCTCAGCAACTACAACTCCCAAATGATAAAATCCCCTCTTCCCACCAATATTCAAATTTGGGCGTATCGGGTATTTGTGCCAATTTTGGTCCAGTGAATGAAAATATATCCTGCATATCAAATATTTCCATTGCAATTCATAACATTAGCAACATTACAGTTATGTGGTAGCAACAAAAATAATGTTGTGGTTGGGGGTCACCACAACATGAGGAACTTAATGGACCGCGGCATTAGAAAGGTTGAGAAACACTGGACTATAACATATAGCATAGGAAGGAAAGAGGAAATGACAAAAACTGCTATGATCTCCCTTCTGCATACAATGATTTGGTCAAAGAATTATGGTCCAGGAGACTCTGATGGGCAATTCTGATGTCATATTGAACAGGAATTTTGGGTAGCAAAAAGTACCAGGCATCAAAGTTTGGAGTACAGCAAGGGAGGGAGCAACTTGCAATGTTTGTATAGATATCTGTGGTGAAGGACTTTATTAAACACTGGTAAAGAATGTCTTCTGAATTATTCCATTAACGTATTGGTTGATACACTCAAAAGACTCTTAACATTTAGTCAGATTACCTTGAAGATAAAATTATCGAGTATCTGGAACAATAGGTCCTGCTGAAAGGAAATAACAGTGCTTCAACAAGACGTGTCCTTCTGTGTGTTTCATAATTGTAACTTTAATAACAGTTTCTAAATCACTGAATTCCCATCCCATTTTCCAAACTTCTGGCACAATTGGTTTTCTCATAAAAACATGGAAAATGTTTATTAAACACAAAAACCATTTTTTGCGGGTCATCCCGCAGCACATTTTGCTATTGTTTTTCAATGAATATCTCACAGAGTCTCAATCAATTCAACATAGTTTGTGGCAGACACAAAAATGAAGCATTTGGAGTATAACAACTACTTTGAAAGTAAGGACTGCACAATAAAACAGGAAATAACAATTTTAGAAACATTATTTTCAAATTTTGTTACATAGGGTTATCTACCAGTAAATGCTTCTCTCATCATAGTACTTCTGGTCTTAGGTTTTGAAATTCTTTGGTATACTTATACAATCCCTTCCACTTAATCATAATGTCATTTGCACCTCAAACTCTGGGGGCCGGAGGTTTAGCACAGCTGGTAAATCATCAGCAATTGTAAGATGTATCAACCAAAAGGTTGCAAGTTTGAACCCCGGGTTGGCATGAGCCGCCAACTGTCACCCTAGCTCACTGTTTACCTAAGCAATTCGAAAAAAGCTTTAGCTGTAATTAGCGAAATTAGGTACCGCTAAAAAGTGGGGGAGGTGTTTTACGACGCCATAAAGAAAGAAGATCAGAAAATGCAGGGTGACCAAAAGGAAGAAGTCCTGATGGCTCTTTGTCATAGAGTAGTGGTTCTCAACCTGGGGTCCCCAGATGTTTTTGGCCTACAACTCCCAGAAATCCCAGCTAGTTCACCAGCTGTTAGGATTTCTGGGAGTTGTAGGCCAAAAACATCTGGGGACCCCAGGTTGAGAACCACTGTCATAGAGGATAGAGCAACAGCACCCCCTGGACTCAAGCCCAGCCTTCCATGGCACCAAAAAAAGCTGAAACAAGCCACCTCCTGTTCTGTTTGTCTGTGTATTGTCTATACAAAGCAGCATTGAATGTTTGCCGAGCATATGTACTGTGATCC